GTAAACACACACCATCTTAGAATTTCTAGTTAGCACTGTCATGGCTTAGCAAGCTCCAATAATTGCCTGTTTTTCCTTTTGAAGCAGATTACAGAAATAGAGCCAGCAGGGCGTTTGGACTCCAGTACTCAAGACAGGCTCATAGCACTGAAAGCAGTAACAAACTTTAGCATTCCAGTTGAAGTTTTTGACTCTGAAGGTGAGTGTCTCCAGAGGGTTTGATTGAAACACTGCATGATGTAGGCAGTCAAGACTTAATGTCTCATAAGTACAGATTAACATAGCCATTCACCACAGGAAGATCTTGGCTAACTAAGTTAAATGAATGGGTATGGTGTGTTGATTTCATTTGAAGGGGATTACTCTTTTGAAGGGAGAAGGCTAACCAATAATTAGCAAAGCCGTAGAGCCTAGCAGTCAGTTTACTACACAAGATCAAACACAAGTGTGTCTGCTTTCTTCAGTGTGTTCTTTTTCTTACCACACAGAAGCTGAAGTATTCCAGAAGAAACTTGATGAGACCACCAGATTGCTCAGGGAGCTCCAGGAAGCCCAGAATGAACGTTTGAGCACCAGACCCCCTCCCAACATGATCTGTCTCTTGGGTCCTTCATACAGAGAAATGCATCTTGGTATGTTTTGCCTCCTGTAAGAGGAGAGTCAGGGGATGCTTCAAAGAAAAAACTTCTGAGTACAGTGGCGATAGCACTATAGAGTAATGCGGATGTCAATCCCAGGGACAGTTTATTTTTTTACATTTTATGCATTTACTGTTCTTTGGGATGCCCGAAAATTATCTAAAGGAATCATGTTTCAGTACCTGAACTATCTTTGTTTTTCTTTTTAGCTGAACAAGTGACCAATAATCTTAAAGAACTTGCACAGCAAGTAACTCCAGGTGATGTCGTAAGCACATACGGAGTTCGGAAAGCAATGGGGATTTCCATTCCTGCGCCCATCATGGAAAACAACTTAGTGGATTTGACAGAAGGTGTGTGCCCTGTTTCTCTGGGAGAGCGGAAAGCTGTTGTGACTATAGTCATTCCTCAGTATCTGTCCAGGATTGGTTCCAGGCCCCCAGATTTGGTATCTGCCCCACAAGGATAGCAGAATCTGTGGATGCTCAAGATTGTAACAAAATGTATTTTCATATACCCTATGCATAACCTCCTGTATACTTTAAATCATCTCTAGATTACTTATATACTTAATATAATGTAGTTAATATACTGTGTTTTTTGTATCTTTTTTCATTGTAGTCTTTAATTGGGTTTTTTCCCCAAGTATTTTTTGACAAACAATTCGTTGAATCTGCAGATGTGGAATACATGGATAAGAAGAGCCAACTGTAGAAGGAACATTAGTCTTCTCTTTTCAAATAACACTTGAAAGATTTTGTCTGTTTTTAATGTATAAAATTACTCTTAGTTTTCTTTCCATCTTGTCTAAAGATTAATAAAGATTTCATGTGTGCAGGAAAAGCCATAGTGATAGCCTGATAATGCCCCTAGTCTTCAGCCTTGGATGTGGTAAAGAGGGGCTCTCATTATACTTCTGGATGGCAGCTTGACCTTCATGTCCCCTTTTTAATTAACAGGTTAAAAAAAAAAATGCTGAATTAAGTGGTGTCTTTTTCTTTCAGATATTGAAGAACCTAAAAAGACAGATGTTGCTGAGTGTGGACCTGGTGGGAGTTGAGGCCGCCTGGTATTTGATTATATATTATGTACATACTTTTTCATTCTTAGAAATACTTTTCAGAAGATATTAAATATTTGTAAATTGTGTTTTTAATTAAACTTTGGAACAGTGAATTTTAATGTTCCAGAGGCTGGACTTGTATTAGGTAATAAAGTTGGACCTGGGACTCATCTTGGTGATATATACAAAAAGCCCTTGTAGGGAAGGAATGTGCTTGGGGCTATTGCCATACCTGGGCAGCATTCTTTAAAAATAGGGCCTGCCCATGCTTCTTCCTTCACAGACAGGACCATCACTAAGAAACGTTCTTAAAACGGCCCCATCCAGTGAGATTTTCCATTATACAAACATGTTTAAAATAATTTTAGAATTTACTAGTGTGGTTCTGCCCTTGTGTGGATAATTAGGCATCTCCCACCACCCCACCCCCCCAAAAGCACACTGGGAGTTTTATAGCACTGTCACACGGCTAGTGTTCTTTTTTTGTTTTTGATTTCCATTTTTTGAAGAGTTACTTAGTACTATAGCAAAGTAATAACCCAGGTAAGATCAACTAAATATTCCTTGAATACATCGGAATTACCAGATTACCAGAAGGTTACATTTGTATTTACTATTTATCTGAAATACAAAGGTTTGTACCCAAGTAGTTGAACTCTTTAGGAGACCACAGAACATACCAGCAAGCTGAGATAAATGGTGATTTCTCTGAATCTGGTTCAGTATAGAACCTGTTATATAAAATAAGCAAGGGAAAAAAATCAAGATGGAGATAGCCTTGTTCAGTGAACAAATTAAGGCCCTTGTACAGTCCTTCTATAAATCACCCAGGTAGGAAGCCATTTGATTTCCATTTTCCTGACTTTGAAAATTAATATTTAGGAAGAACAAGCAAGGTAAAGGAAAATTCCCTCAAAAGACTTAAAATCTTATGCTAAAAGAGTGAAATTTTCAAGTCATTTTAGAGTCTACTTTTAATTTGTGGTGAGTTCCTGAGGACCAAGAAAATATTTAAATTTAAAATACCTTAGGACATTCGAGTTAACCAAATTGCTAATTTAATGTATAAAAAGGAGCTAAACACTGATACTTTATAAAAATGAAACAGCATTTTGAAACAAATGTTACAGATCTATATAAATATTCAATATACAGAATAAACCCTAGTTATTTGCATGCACCACCTCAAATCATATTTCTTTACATTGACCTATTATATACACAGAGTATACAGTGGTTAATGATCTTCTCTTCTGTTAGGAAATTTTCTCAAGCCAGAAAACTTCAGGTATTATTTTTACCAGTTAACTCAGGAGAAATTGTAAGGAAGTCCTTGACCCATAGAGAGAAGGTCACTGTTAGAACAGGTACTTATTTCTGTCATGAAACAAAATGACACCAGTAAATAAATTACTTCGTAATTTAAAAACAGGTTCATAAAAAGAAAATACTTGCAGGTGATTTTTATGGTCAGTTATACTCTATAACCTGAACGCTGAAAACTAAAAACTTACAAACTATTATTATCTGAGCATAGTACAGTGCTTTAATTGAAAATAAAAATGCATGAATGGTAATTAATTACTTGTTAAACTCTCAACTGGGGTTTCTGTTACTGAAGAAAAAAGCAACTTAAATATTGCAAGAGTACAGATATGCTGACCTCAGAGAGGCCCAGTGCACTGATGTGTTTCCATGTTATATTAGCAACCTTCCTGACTTCCCAGGAGATCCCCCACCAGGCAGCCCTGGTCACTGCTAGATCTTGAGAGCACAGATTTCAGTACAGTATTCAGAAGAAACCAGCCCTTCATGTGAAAAGCCGGTGTGTAAAAAAGGCAGCTTAGGCCGGGCGCGGTGGCCCACGCCTATAATCCCAGCACTTTGGGAGGCCGAGGCGGGTGGATCACGAGGTCAAGAGATCGAGACCATCCTGGTCAACAAGGTGAAACCCCATCTCTACTAAAAATACAAAAATTAGCTGGGCATGGTGGCGCGCGCCTGTAGCCCCAGCTACTTGGGAGGCTGAGGCAGGAGAATTGCTTGAACCCAGAAGGCGGAGGTTGTGGTGAGCCGAGATCGCGCCATTGCACTCCAGCCTGGGTAACAAAAGCGAAACTCCGTCTCAAAAAAAAAAAAAAAAAAAGGCAGCTTAAGTGAGGCTTACTGCCCTTGCCAGCACTGTTGCCGTGGAATTCCTTTATACAGCAAGTTTTTATATTCATACTGATTCCAGTTACATGCAACACATCAGAGCTACAACTAGTCCTCCCAGTAGCTTCATGCAAATTAGAACATGCCTGCCCTTCCTCGGGCCGATAAAGCCACCTATGACACAGCACAGGCTGGCAGGTTCGATTTTCATCCCCTCCACTGCCACCGCCCAACTTGGCTGTACTCTAATTTGCAACCAGGGGGCAACTCATCCCAGAACCCCAACAAGTCTAGTCAGTCTACCCAGTCTGCAACCCTGTATAATCTTGTAAAGGCTCCTGTATGCAAGACTTTCTGTATAACTTCAGGGAGTTCATGGTAACTTCTAGCTAAGAATCTCTGCTATGTAAGGAAATTGAGTGCATTAGAAATCCTAGAGATGCTCTGGATTGATGAGGCCACTGGTTAAGACGTCTGGTTATGAAGTTCGTTCAGAAAAAGGCAAAGACAGTTTGGTTGTTTCTCACCCTGAAACACTTAGGTTTACTTTTAGTTCTTGGGGAGTTTGAAGCCCAGTAAGACACATCCCAAAAACCTGGCTTTTTGCATTTGCCTTGACTCATGTCGTTTCAGAACAAGACAGCTCAGCATTTGTGAGGGGGCTGGCTTCCCAGATCCAGGAGCCTCTGCACGTACCCATGCTGAGTAGATCCTTCTAGTTTTGAAGCTCTCCAGAGTTAGCTCTGAAGACTAAAGGAAAGGAAAGACTCACCCACAGGTTGTCCAAGTTATTTCTAAACAGACTCCATTCCTTTCCAGTAAGAAAAGTAAGATACAGTTGAAGGACAGCAGGGGAGAAAGCAAAGATGAGTGAGTAGTTGAGGAAGAGCTGAAAGGCCGCCCCTTACTTTCTAGGCATCTCTCTCCAGAATGCTTGTCTCACGAGCTGCCTCATTCAAAGCCAAGGCTTGACTGCGCCCTCCCTTCTTGCTGTGACCACATTCCTCAGGATTCAAACCCTACAGCCGGCTGACCCCATAAGCTGATGCTGGACAGTAGTCCTGCTTCATGTCAGTGGTTAAAAATGCAGAGAATACACTGGAGGGAAGAGATTTTGTCTAGTGTCTAAAAAGTCATTCAGAGGATAAAACCCCCATTAATATATCCATTTTAAACAAACATGCCAGACAAGGCAAAAAGTAACAGTGTTAATTATGGTGTTTTTCTCTCTACTGTTTGAAACGCTTTACAGATGTAAAACGCCCCTTTCAGCTTCCTTTACCAGAATGCTTCTGAGCAACACTCTCACTGCCCAGCCCACCAGGGAGAGGGAGTCTCCAGTCCATGCTAGACAGCTCAGCTTACTCCTCCTTGGTGTCTAGAAAAACAGACCACCCCACTTGTGCATGCTCACAGGCCACCGACGTGTGGGTGTCTGTTTTCATCATGTGCTAAAGTCGCCTCTGTAGCACCTCAGGGAACAAAGATCTCAGCCCTGAACCAGTGAACATTCTTCTGGAAGAGGGAACTTGGGCTTAAGAGCTAACTAACCTGGAAGCTGTTAGACCAGGCACAGAGTTTCTGGTTGCCGCTGAGCGTTATGGCTCAGTGGCTGCTTCGAGCCAGAATCTGGTGCATGTGTCTGAGAAATCCTCCAGCACAGGTCCAAAGAAGCCAACATGCACAGCCATCTGCTGGGAGGTGACCACACCCTCTGAGTGCCTTTGGGATTGACATGGGGCGGAGTCTTCTGGCTTGCTTCAGGGAAGGAGATTGACTTCCCAGACTGCTCGGAATCTAGCAGGAGCCCTCAGTTCAGCCCCAGCCCCTGAAACTTGGCAGTGTCCGTACAGACAAAGTAAGTCCTCAGCTCGCCTTTGCCTTTGACGTTGATCAGGCCACGACATTCACATGAGTACCCGAGGCCCTGGAGGATGGTGCAGGTCTCCTCAGTAACCTGAAAAGGAAGAGAGATCTATGTCTTCAGAGGTGGTAAGAACGCCTGTCGTGGTAGGGACAGATAGACTGGCCAGGCATGCGGTTTGCCTTCCCTGGAGAATGTGATAGCTAGAACCATGGCTGCTGGGTGGGACAGGAGCTCTGAAGCCCAAGTCCCCTCACCTCTGGGGAAGATCTTTTCCCCTCAGTCACCTGCTTCCCCGATGGGTCTTTACCTGGATTTTCCCAAGTTCTCCAGTGCTCTCCATTCGGCTGGCCACGTTGACCGTGTTTCCCCAGATGTCATACTGAGGTTTTCGGGCCCCAATCACTCCAGCAATCACAGGCCCATGGTTTATGCCTGAAGATGATGTTTACAGTTGGCCAAGCATTCAGGCAAAGCCCCAGGCTTCTGCCCTCAGGGAAGGCCAGAAAATTCATCCCCCAGCACAGGACGCGGGACAAAACTAGAATTAAGGCTAGGTTGCTTCCCAGAGTCACCATGATGCAGTCGGGCCTTGGGTGTGAGGAGGGCATTCCCTGGCCAGCTTTTTCAGACTCAGAAGCCAGAAGTCTGGGTTTGATGTTAATACTCGTACCTGCTAATCTCCCTTTTAACAAAGGTCTGGCTTTGAGTGCAAGCCCACAGCTAGTTAGGTTTAGTAACTTTGCTGCTTTCTCTGTATTTTGCCTATTCACAGACAATAATACCTAACTACAGAAAACGAGAGAACCAAAACAGGTGGATCACTTGAGAACCAAGGTTCTCTGTATTCTGTAGTTACATATTACTAAAACTCAACGGTAACTATATGCTTATGCAAAATGTCAGAATAATTGACCAATTACTGAGCTTGTCAGATGGGAGGGATTTCTAAAACCTTTCATAATAGATGGTGAGGCGCAGCTGTGCCTCACAGACTGGGTGGGCTGGCCTGGAGGCAGGGGCTGCCTACCCCCTGCCCCCCCGCCTGGGCTCACCAACGCGGAGGCGGAAGGAATTGAAGGAGTGCCTGTTGATGCCGTCCAGCTTGCTCATCAAGGCGATGCTGAACTCCACCATGACGCCAATGTGGGCGTGCTGCCGCTCCAGCTCCTGCGGGATGGGGTGTGGGTCAGGTCCTTGCATCTCCAGAGCCCCGAACCTAGTGGGCACTGGCATGCCTCTCGTTGAGGATTCCCCACCACTAAAATCCTGGCTGAGCCCTGCAAGCACCTGTGCTCCTCCCTCAAGATGGGACAAGGACACACCCCTTTAAGGTGACAGGTCACCTTTAAGTGAGAATAATCGGCTGAATTTCCCCTCTTGGGCTTGAGTACCTGGTTCTCGTGCCCCGAGGTGATGCTGAGCCCTGCAGCTGCCATGTATGTGCTGCCGATGGTCTTGATTTTCTCCACGCCACTGAACTTGGGCTTCAGCAGGAGCTGCCAGTGAGAAGGAAGTGGTGAAGCAGCGAAGCAGCCACGCCACTCCACAGCCGCAGCCAGGCTGCCCACACTCCTCAGGAAGGGTGTGGGGTTCCCTCCACCCGCCGCCTCTCGCACACACGTCACACTGCCCTGCCTGCTGAGTGCATGACTAAGCACGGTGAGGGGCGTGGCCCCGGTGGCTCCTGCTCTTCCTGGCGTCTCCATCCCCACTCTCTCCCTCTTCCCTTCCATCCAGGTCTGCACAGAGCAGACACATCATTATCTACACAGGAATGTGGATTCTTTGTCTCCAGCAAGAGGGCAACCCAAACTGATTTCCTCTGAATTGGCTTGGTTGATAGCTTGGGCTTAGCTGGAAATGAAGCTCTTCTAAAGGGTCTGAGTCTAATCTTAGCAAGCTGCCCGTCACAGAGAAGGTGCCAGTAAAATATTTGCTGCATAAAACAATGAAAAAGAAATGTGTGCCCTTTATATACTGTGTAATGCATTTTCAGAATATATTACAGGGAAGCAGTGTTTTTTGTTTTTTTTGAGACAGAGTTGCACTTTGTTGCCCAGGATGGAGTGCAGTGGTATGATCGAGGCCACACATCGCCTGGGCATCCCCATGAAGCCAAGACCTGAGGAAGCCAAGCTCGGTGTGTACCCCACCTCCACACCTAAACCCTATGGACTGCGCCTGAACCTTCCATCTCTTTGGCCTGCCCCAACCCCTTCCCAGCACAACCTCTGCCTCCCAGGTTCAAGTAATTCTTCTGCCCCAGCCTCCCAATTAGCTGGGATTACAGGCACGTACCACCAAGCCTGACTAATTTTTTGTATTTTCAGTAGAGATGGGGTTTCACCATGTTGTGCAGGCTGGTCTCAAACTCCTGACCTCAAGTGATCCACCCACCTGACCTCCCAAAGTACTGGGATTACAGGTGTGAGCCACTGTGCCCGGCTCTGTATCACATTTTTTAAAGGGTTTAAGATGGCAGGTACTGCTGCCTTGCCCTCCTCAGCACGGGTAGGGCTGCCACATAGGGCTGGCAAAGTCGTACCTCGTCAAAGTCGGCAATGATCTCGTTGAGCAGGCGAAGGCACTCCAGCCCTTCCTTGTTGACGTCGCACTCCGTGTAGAACACTTTGAAGTCTGGCACAGAGGCAAACATGACACAGACGCAGTCATACGACTGATGGTACCAGTCCTGGATGGGAAGAAACCAGTCCTTACGCCACTTTACCTCTTGAGGGGAGGGGAAGAGTGGCAAGGCCTCAGGAGCAGATGACACTGAACTGCCCAGCCGGCTTTTTGGGGATGAACCTGCATGAGGTTCATCCAGCTGCTGTTACAGAGCAATTCAGAATCGGGTGGCCAGGGAGGGTCAGGCTCTGGTTGGTTTTTTGCTCACAGAAGCACCTTGGGTGTTTCCGTGTACACACAGGGTGAGAACCTCTGCAGTAGTGGAAGGTGACAGTGGGGAGTTCTGTGTTCTCACTGGGCCTCAGTCTCCTATATAGAAAACTTGCTACCCAGAACTGGTGGAGGTATAGACATTTTCATCAATACAGAATGTCCAGATCACAAACCCCTGAACACATTTCACCCTCACCACAATCCTGTGGGGAAGTGCCATCGGCCCATTTTACAGAGGTGAAGACCAAGGCCCGGGAAAGCAAGGTACCTTGTCCGCAACCACACTCGAGCCCAGGTTCCTGACCCCAGGCCTGTGCTCTCACAGCTGATGCCACACATCACCTGGGCATCCTGATGAGGCCAAGACCTGAGGATGCCAAGCTCGGCATGCACTCCAGCTCCACACTTAAACCCTACGGACTGCGCCTGGACCTTCCGCTTCTTTGCCCCTTCCCAGCACACCTCATTTAACTTGTCACCGATGAAGTGGGCGGCCACATGGGCTGGCAGGACGTTCTCCAGAAGAAGGCGATTCACGTTCTCCATGGTCTCAAACTCCTCGTGCTCCTTCTTGAACTTCTTCTTCCATAGGCAGTCCAGGCGGCAGTAATAGTCAATCTGCAAATGGTGGGTACATAAGTAGCCCGTCTGTAGGCGAGCAGGGCCGGGCTGGCATGTATCTCCTGCCAGGTCTGTCTGTTCCTGGCGTCCTTGCAACCTCTGGCCAGGGAACCAGCACTTTCCTGGCAGGACTCTGGTCTCTGCTGTTCCGCATAAGCCCACCCCACCCCATCTCCAGGTGGAGGTGAGGACAAGAGGCAGAGCTGGGGCAGGGGTGGAGGGGGAGCCTCCATACCTGTCTGGAGAGCGTGAGCAGGGTGATGTAGAACAGGACCAGGTAGAAATTGATCATGGTCTTCAGGTCCCTCCAGGAACAGCTAGGGGTGCCGCTGGATGTGAAGGGAGGCCTGAGTCACTCCCAGCACTCACCGCCCCAACCCACCAACGGAGTCATGCTCTCCAGATGCCACGTGCACCCAGGGTGAAAGGGGAAAACTGATTCTAATGGCGGTGGGTAGAAAACAAGACAACTTGAGGTTATAAAGGGAGGAGAGGCAAGGTGGGCCAGGAGGTGGGGGAGCCCTCACAGGGGTGACCTCTGATATCTCACCCCTGGATGACCAGAATCAGCCATAATGAGGGCCTGGAGGGAGCCCAGAGCTCCTGGTGAGCCAGGGTCGGTGGCAGGTGGGGTGGGGTGGACGGGTGGCTTAAGAATTCTGCAGGTGTAGGGGCAGACCCACAGGGGCAGATTCTGTTCTGGGTCCCCAGGCTTCTAGCTTTTTTGTTTTGGGGCTTGGGGGGCAGTTCCTCTCCTTAATCCACTTGGGACCCAGAGCGCCTAAAACCACACACTTGCCCGAGCTTCAGGTATCACCACCTGTCCAGGAAGAGATGGAAGCAACTGCTCCTTTCAGAAATTGAGACCCAGGATGTGGCCCTGAGAGGCACAGAGCTAGATAGAGCTGTAGCCCCCCTCCTTCCCCACAACTAGACTGGCCTGGAAACAGGATGACCCTGTGGCCTCTGTCAGACCAGGGACTTCCTAAAGAACCTGCCAGTGAGTCAAATTCCTCAGCTCTGAGCGCTGGAGACCTGGGACCTGGGCAAGCCTCGGTCCCTACTGTGAGATGAAAGCTAGGCTGTCTGCCAGCCCCACTCCAAAAGGTGCCCACTCCCCATGAACACAGAAGCCCCTTGGTGTGAGCAGACACCAGATGAACAGGCCACCATGGGGATGGGGACAGGGGTGGCTCCCCACCTGGTGGTGCCATTGGGCTCGGTGAGGTTGCCCAGGCCTTGGCTGGAGCCGTCCCACTGCCAGCACGGGGAGAGGTTGAAGAGCACCAGGTAGGCCACCAGGGCCACTGTCAGCATCACGACCTTTGGCTCCAGGCTCATCCGCAGGAAGACGGAGCAGGCGATGAAGCCCAGGATGCAGCTGCAGGTGTAGTACTGAGTGGGGGTGGAGGGGTCACTCAGGACAGGGCCATCCCACCACCTACACCTCAGGCCCAGCACGTACCCCCGAGCCCCACCCCCCCCAGTGCCTCAGCATCACACTCTCGCCTTGCTGCCTCCCTTCTCAGCAAAAAACAAGACCTAAGAGTTTCCAGTGTTGTGGTGTTTTCACCGTAGTTTTATATGAAGTGAGCTCATTTAAAGGGAAAAAAACCCACAATATGCAGGTGCCATGGATATGGCAGACCATGGTCAATATCAAGGCTAGAACATGCCGGCATCCAAGCTGCCTCCCTGAGTTTTTTGTGAGCTTGCCCTTTCAAAGCCCCTCTGCCCTGCTCAAGATGGTGCTGTGGCTCCCCAGCCCCCAGAGTAAAGACCACGCTCTTCACCCTGGCATTCCCGAATCCCCCAGTCGATCGAGCCTGCCCCTGGCTCCATCTCCCAGTTCTCCTCTACTCCCTCCCCAGGGCAACCCACTCCAAATCCCAACACACCTCAGCTTTTTCCCACACTGTCCCCTGTCCCCTGTCTCAGACCTTTCTTCCCTTTAGGGCCCAGCTCACTGCACCGCCACCCCCTGAAGTTGCAGAGGCTGCTATCTGTGAGGCCCTCCAGGCCCCACCACCTGCCTGGGCCTGCCCTGGTGCCACCACCTAATGAAGCCCCTCCCTGAGCTGCGCATACTCGTGGATAAAACAGCCACAGGCCTGCCACAGAGGAAATGCCCTGACCAGGAGCCCCCACAAGGCCAGCAGATGCTCTCCTCACTCCCTGCCTGCCCACAACGCCTAGACCAAGCCCGCCCAGGCCTGGACTGCTCCACACTCCCAACTCAGCCCATGGGACCCTGCTTTCCCAGCTCTGTAGGAGAGGCCAGACTCAGCCTCCATGTGCTGTGCTCTCAGGGACTCAGCACCCATACTTCGAGGTTCCCACCTACACCCCTGGCAGCAGCAGCCCCACTCCGAATGAGGCCACAAAGCCAGGCCTGTTGCACTCACCGGGAGGGGCTCGCACAGGGCCCTTGCCTTGCTGCTCATGGCCAACAGGCCTGTCTCGTTGCCGAAAGGCAGCTCTGGGACTGGGAAAGGCATCAGGGGCTGCAGAGGAGACAGGTCCCCATCAGAGCTAGTCCAGGGACGGCTGCCCAGCCCGAGCAAGGTGGCCCCCAGGCAATCGTGAGTATCGCAGCAGCCTGAGGTTTCACGATGGGGTCAGCTCTGAGCACAGCAGCCGTCAGGTTCAGAGTGCAGAGGGGCTGGGAGATGAGTGCACAGTCACCCCCAGAGAGGCAGCGGCCAGGGGATGGGACCAGCATTTTCAACCTTCTCCCCAGGTGACCCTCGGGAAGTGGTCACAGGAACACGTTCCAAAAACCCAGGCGCAAAGGTGAGGGAGAGGCCATGGCAGGGTCTGGGAGGGAGGTGGACAAGTGTCCCACAGGCTGCCTCCTGCAGCACTGAGCCTCTGAGCACCAGCAGAGGAGCAGGGCTCATCTCGAGAGGGGAAACTGAGTCTCACAAGGAGAGGCAGGGTCGCCTCATGGCCATGAAGAATGAATGGGGTGTCAGGATGTGGTGGCTCAAGGCATCGCATCTTCCTGGGCTGGCCACACAAGCTTTCTGAGCCCCCAAATTCCTCTTGAAAACCCAAAGGTGAGGAGCCCTGAGTCTGCAAAAGGGAACCCCACAGGGCCACCTGAGCTTGGGGGAGAGGTAAACCCAAGGCAGTTTTTAAGGCCACATTGTAGGTGTCCCAAATCTAGAGGTTCCCCCTCTACCCAGGAGGCCTGCCTCCCCATCCCAGGACCCACCAGGTTGACGATGGCCACAGTGAGCAGGCTGCCGATGGTCAGGACGGCCAGGGTCAGCCTCAGTAGGGGCTGCATCTCCACCCTCTTGGAGATAGTGCAGAGCATCCCCCGGGCTGGGCAGCACCTCTGTGGAGTAATGGGGTCGAGTCACCCAGAGCCAACAGCCTGGACAAGGAGGGCTGGCCACTGGCAGCCTGGGGAGGGGTACCCTCAGGAGAAGCCTCCAGGGCACTCAGGAAATTGTCCGCGAAGCAGGAGTAAGGGGCACCTAGCCTTGACCTCAGCCCAGCCAAGCTTACCAGGGAGGGCTCTCGGGCAGGCGTCCCAAGGCAGAGAGGGAGGGGCCAGGGGTCAGGACTCCCCACTTACCGAGAACTCAGCGGCAAAGCAGAGGCCTAGCACCAGCCCCAGCACACAGGCCACCAGCCCGAAGGACACACCCAGAGCCACCGTCCTAGAGAGGAAGGAAGAACCTAGGTTCTGCCTAGGGCCTTCTGCTCAGGAACCCTGCCCCTGCCAATCCTCCGGTTGACAGCCCCCTGTCCCTGCCACACTTGCTATTCTCCCCGCAGCAAAGGGGACCTGTGGAAACTGTGGCCCTGCTGCCACATGGGCAACACACAGAGCCTGGCCAGATCATGAAGACTGAGGTCAAGACCATGTCACTCTTTTTGGTCCAAGTATATAAAAAATGAGCAATATCTCTGCAGTCTTTAGACTCAGAAAAACTGTAAAAACGTGTTCCCTTTTTTAATATTATTTTCTTAGACAGGGTCTCGCTCTGTCGCCCGGGCTGGAGTGCAGTGGCACGATCTCGGCTCACTGCAACCTCCACCTCCTGGGTTCCAGTGATTCTCCTGCCTCAGCCTCCTAAGTAGCTGGGACTACAGGCGTGCACTATCATGCCCAATTTTTTTATTTTTTTTTATTTTTTATTTTTTATTTTTTTTGAGACGGAGTTTCGCTGTTGTTGCCCAGACTGGAGTGCAATGGCACGATCTCGGCTCACTGCAACCTCCGCCTCCTGGGTTCAAGCAATTCTCCTGCCTCAGCCTTCCCAGTAGCTGGGATTACAGGCATGCACCATCATGCCCAGCTAATTTTTTGTATTTTTAGTAGAGACGGGGTTTCACCATGTTGACCAGGATGGTCTCGATCTCTTGACCTCGTGATCCACCCGCCTCGGCCTCCCAAAGTGCTGGGATTATAGGCGTGAGCCACCGCGCCCGGCAATTTTTTTATTTTTAGTAGAGATAGGGTTTCACCATGTTGGCCAGGCTGGTCTCAAACCCCTGACCTCAAGTGATTTGCCCCTCGGTCTCCCAAAGTGCTGGGATTACAGGCGTGGGCTACCGCACCCCACCTCCCTCTTATGTCTTCATTAAGCATATCCAAAACCACAATCCTGGTCTATGCTTTGGCCTAACTGCTCTTCTAGAAACCAAGTAGCTGACCTCAGATCCCTTCCCTCTGACTTCACTCTCATCCCTATACCCCACCCAGCAGGGATCTAGAGCCAGAAGTATGAATCCCAGTGACTTCTGGATAAATCATTAGCCCTCTGCATCTCCATGTCCCTGCATATAAGAAAGGATAGTGCCTAAAGTTTTCAGAGTCTGTTCTCCTAGCGCTCCAAACACCTAAGGCAAGGGCTGACAAGCAAAATGCCTGCAGGCCACACATAAGACAGGTGACTGAGAAGAGAGACATTAGGGAGTAGGGAGGCCTGTGGCAGAAAACACATTCTATTAAAAAGTAGTGTTGGTAACTCAAGGTGTGCAGCCACAAACGCTGGTCCAGTTTCTCAGACTCCAGCAGCCGACCCCTTCCAGCCCAAATCACGAAGCTCCTTGCAGGTGCTCTGATGGGTCTTGCCACAGTCACCTTCCAGCCTGAATCCCAGCAGGCTGGACCCCCATACCCCCAATCCAACTGACCTGGGCATGAGCAGGACATGGACAAGCAGAATGCAGATGAAGATCAGGCTTGCGCAGGCGAAGTGGTGGCGGGCCCGGGGGATGGGCGCTAGGCGGTACTGGGGGCAACAGGGTCTGTGAGGGGTGGCCACCTGCGGGGCCACTTGCCCACCTGGCTCCAGTGAACCAGGTTTAAAAAAACACCTCCTCACTGGGACAGTGGCTCACACTTGTAATCCCAGCACTTTGGGAGGCCGAGACAGGAGGATCACTTGAGCCCAGAAGTTTGAGACCAGCCTGGGCAAAACAGTGAGACCCCATCTCTAGTTTAAAAATGAATTAATTAATTTAAACCCTCCCACCATGTTGGAGTTCCAGTTTTGTTTCCAATCGCTGTTCTTCCTATTTGAAGATAATGTCTTCCCCTCCCCTACGCCACCCGAGTCACTCTTTCCAAGGTCCCTGCAGAGCTCACGGCCCCAAGTACATGGACAGGAGCCAAGTCTGAGCTCTGGGGCTGTCTTCGCCCCAAACCAGGGAGCTGGCAGGTGGGGAGACTCCCATGCCACAGCCCCCACCACACAGGTGCCATCGTGGGATCACAGCCCAGGGAGGGTTTCTGCTGCAAGGAAGGAAAGCATGCTCGGCCACACAGCCTGCAGCGTCACTCAGCCGGCAAGGCCCGCCAGGCACGTTTCCTGGTGACCTCACCGAGGAAGCCCCCAACTCAGGGAGCCCCCAAAGAGGGAATCCCCCCAATCCTGGACTCTGGGCGCCATTTCCTTGGGCTGAGGGAGAGGGGCTCCCCACCCGCCGTGGAGCAATGAGGGGGTCCGTCCTCTCTGACGGGCCACACCTGCAGCTGGGACAGGCTCTGGAGCCCCTGAGAGCCAGTTTCCTGTCTGTGAAGTGGTAGAGCAGCACCCCTGGGTCGGCGGTGTGAGGGTTAAATCATATAATGTGGGTGCCGAGGACGCTGCCAGAACCCAGAAGGCACTCAGTAAAGAAATGGTCATTTTCAGTACAAAAGGCCCGTAGCAGCAAGACAGGGCACTGACAACTGAGTTTTGGGGTCTTGTCTCATTGCAAGGCCAGTGCCGTCAGCCTGAGGCATCCATGCCAGGATCTGCTAAGGCTCTGGCACTGGATGGAGCAAAAGTGTTGCAGACCTACGGGGGCAAATCTCTGGTGGGGCATTCGGGTCATGGAATGAGGCCGGCAGGAAACTGAGCCAGGCTGGCGCTGTGCTGGCCCCACCCCCACCCAGGAGCAGCTGTGGATTCTCCATGCCCCTCCCCACGCCAGTCTTGGGAGTGCAGGCTGCCCTGTGACCTGCGTCCCCCACCCCACCCCAGACCTGGAGATCCCGCCCCTCTGGGGGAAGGCGGCTGGGGGCCCTCACCTCGCGCTCAAAGCCCTTCTCCAGGAAGATGGACCCAAAGGTGTAGAAGTCGTCAGACTTGGAGCAGCAGGGCCTGTGGGTGGGGCCCTCGGCAGTGAGATGGGGCTGGGAGGGGGTCCAGTCCCTCAGGAGGCAGCAGCAGACGGGGGAAGGAACAGGGCTGGGCCATTGGGCATGGGCATGAGGTGGGCCTGCCCATATGTGGGACCCCTGTTGAAGGGGGAGAGGTGAGGGTTGGGCAGAGGTCTCAGGCCTCACCTCGTGGAGCTGAGCCCCTCGATGGCTGACAGCATCTCGTCATATGAGTCATCCTCCAACCGCCCCCTGGGGGTCATGCTCCTGGAATCAGATACCCCCAGCTACATCAGCGCAGAGACCACCTCCGACTCTCCCAGAGGAGGGTGTGGACGTGGACACTGGTGGAGCCCCAGAACCTCATGTGGGATGGTGAAGGAATGGGTGGGACCCACTGAGGCCCAGAGCGTGCAAGTGAGGACCCAGCATCGCCCAGCATGGCCCAGCTGGCCAGCGGCCCAGCCACAAGCAGAGGGCAGACCCAAGCCCCAGTCCAAGGCATCTCTGGCTACACCCCCAGGGTTGGCATGGGTACCAGAACACCCACCGGCATCTCCTTTCCTCCCACTGACTCCACTGACCCCACCAGGGCAGCACACAACAGGCGCTCCATCATGGCCATGTGGAAGAGCCAGGGACCAGAAAGCTCTGGTTCCTAGAAACACTTTGACCCGAGCCCTGGCCAACTTCACAGAGGTCCTGGGCTGGGCCTCGCAGAGCTCCCCACTGAACAGAGGCTGGTCAGGGCAGCCAGCCTGGAGGAGGTGGCTGCAGCAGGACTTGGCCAGGAGGGCAGGGCACGCACCTGTCAGGGGTCCGGCGGTGGCGATGGGGAATGCTCTGAAAGGGAAGGTAGAAGACACAGTCATTCCCCAGAACGCCGGGCTCTAAAGCCCACCGCTGGGCCGGGTGCAGCCCTTCTGATCCTTGATATGCAGGACAAGGTGTCAGGGGTCATCCAAGCCACAGACATCCTGACTACAGCTGAGCATGGTCCAGGCACCAAGGAGGACAGGGACGTTCCTGGCCACCTGGTGTATTCTCCAAATGCCTTTGTTTCCCCTCCAGCCCCAGGAGGTGAGGCAGAGGCTGTGGCCATTTTACAGATGGGGACAGTGAGGCCAACAGGGTGAGAGATCTTCAGCACCCACTCTCCTGCCCCCAGCTTGAGGCCCCAATCCCTGGCTCTCTGGTTGGAAGGGGGACATACCTTGGGCCTCTGCCCATTAGGGATGGGAGTCTCGCCACTGCTCACACTCTCACGATGGTTGAGGTGCGCAAAGGGCCGAGCTGCCCCCCAGGACTCGAGGTAACGGGTCATGCGCACTGACGCCCGCATCTTCAGGGCTGCGTCCCCCTTGGACCTGGGGGGGTGTTGCCTCGGCGGGGGTGGCTGCTGGCTCTGTGGGCAGACACAGACATGGGCCTGTGCCACCCTCTCTCCAGGAAGGGGCCGCCACCCCCAACTGACTCTCCCTGAAATGTGACACCACCCTCAGCACTGGCTGATCCCGTGAAAAAACAAACGTCAAAGAAGTTGCTCAACCTGCAGTGCCCTTGGAGAATGGGCTTTGGGGACTGGACAGCCAAAGCCCGGTGCACTCTGAGGCCAGGCCATATGGGATCCCAACTCAGTGCTCTGGCCCTGCCCCAGGCTGAGAAGAGGCTAGCGGGTACTCACCACCGTACCCAGCCCCACCCCCTGCTCTGCCTCCCCAGGGGGAGATGCAGGGCTCAGGTCCCAAGCCCGAGGCCCCACGGCCCTTGAGGCTCCTTGGAACGAGAGTGTCCCTGGGGCCTGAGCACCCGTCAGCCCCTCCCAGGAGGCACCTGGGAAAGCCACAGGCATCCTACCCTGCCCTCCCACATGTGGCCGGCATGCGCACGCTCCTTCCTGTGGGAGGCACCCAGGAGGAAGAGGGGTGCTGACTACCTCGAGAAGTGGCCAAGCCAGAGCAAGCCAGGCAGTGATCCAGGGAGTTCCACTTTTGTGGCTCCCAACCACAGATGGCACAGGGCCATGACCTGCCATGTGCCTGCGAGACCCAGGCTCACGCCAGACCTCAGTGGCTCAGCCAGGCCGTGAATGCATGGCCAGCCCTGCCTTGCCACCACCCTCCCCTGCAAGAGCACACACCTGAGGCCTTCCCCAGTTGGAGTGGCCAGGCAAAACTGGGAAAGGGGCAGGGAAGAGAAAGGCCTGCCAGGCTGCCAGAGATGAGCTAAAGCTGGCTCCAGCAAAAGCAAACACGCCGTGGATGAGCCTCCGCAGCTACAAACACTCGCTACGCCAGAGCACAACCTTCCTGGAAACCTCGCCACCTTTTGGGACAGAAATATTTTTAAGCCCTTAGCCACATCTATCTCCCTAGCCACGAGAGCCATGTGGAATTCGGCCCTGGTGAGTGTCCCAGAGTAGGAAGGGCGTGCTGGCCCTGCAGTGGGCAACCTGGTGGGCACAGGTGCATTTCTACGTCCCCTCCTCCACCATGGCAACTCTGCCACTTCTCTTATAGCAGGGAAACCAGACACTCCAACTCCCTGAGAAACAAATAAAAAGCAGAAATAAGTAAAAAATCAGATTCCTCAGTTCTGAGCAAACATCTGCCTGCTCAGAATGGGCATGGCATCAGTATGAGCCCCACAGGGCACCTGCAACCACCATCCAGTCCACGGGAGCCCGTCCTGCCCCAGCCAGGCCACGCAGCAACAGCGCGAGACAGAGCCCACGGAAGCCAGTGCAGAAAATTCACCTCCACGTCAAAAACAGGAGCTACAGACGAGCACCCTGCACACAGGAGGAGTGTCCCCAAGGTAGGAGAAATGCAGGGTGCACGACCATAGGGCTTGCTACCACCGCCTTAGCAAGAAGGGTGGGGGGACTCACAATTCACTCTGTGCATGAAAATCCCTGTGGGAACACAAGAAGCTCGCTGCACACACCCCCTCTGAGGAGATGGGCCGGCTGGGGACAAGGAGTCTTTCCACAACCTGCCCTTCACACCTTTTGAACTTTCAACCACCTGAATGAATAAAGTTAAGCAAAAAAAAAAAGAGGAAGGGAACCAAATTTTGTGGGGGGCTGGAAGAGGAAGGCCTATACTTCCAAGCTCCCAAAGGCCTTTTTAGAAAAGAAAAAAAAAAAAAAAAGGGTGGGGTAGGGTGGGGCGGGGAAAGGGTGGAGCTGCCAGATAAATCCAACTGCCCAGCTGAGTAGTGCGTGGACACTCATGCAAGAAACAGGATTCACATTTATCTGAAATTCAAGTCTGCCCAGACGGCCGGCAGCTTCCCCTGCTCAACCTGGCAGCCTGCGGGGGTGGCTTTCAGAGCCTCCTGGGTGAGGGGCTCGGCTTCATTCATGCAAGGGCTGTCTGAGCATCAGCTTCGAGCCGGGCACCCGTCTCAGCACGGGGTCAGGGTTGTGGCCTGAAGAGGAGGGGCCACCGCATGGCGCTGAGGCTGATAACAGGCAAGGAAAACAGGTAAACAAACAAGGGCATTAGGGACGGAGGGAGGAGCATTCTGGGTGCAGGACCTGCAGGCAGCCACCAGCCTGGCAGGAGGGGACCGGGTGGGGTGACGGGACAGGAGAGCAGGGGAAGGGCCTGGAGGGGTGGGGACAGGGCCCTGTTCTAAGTGGGTGCTGGAGCAGGACACAGGTACCGGGAAGGGTCTTCCCAGACGCTGGCTCAGCATGGATGGCATGGCACCAGAGGCCTGGAGGGCAGAGTGAGGCCAGCAGATGCGTAGGGAGGCTCACAGGCCAGCCCTTGGCCCCCCACCCCGGGTTCTAGCACTCGGGCCAGCCCCAAGGCACAGCCAGGACCAGAGTGAGAGGCCACTCGCTAACGGCTGGGCCAACATTCTTGAGCAAGCCTCGAGGATGATTCACAGAGCAGTGGCCAGACACGCCGGCCTCCCTCGAGCAGGCCAGGGGCGGGAGCAGACGTGCCGGGGCGGGCCCCACGTGCACAGAGGCAGTGGAACTGCCTCTCCCAGCGTGGGGTCCTGGAGCCACCAGGGGGACTGTGGTCGGAGCCCAGGACACACAGCAGCTCCTGCACAGTGGCCCCTGGGCCATTCCTGGCTTTCCTGAGTCTCATCCAAAGTATGTTTCAAAAGTGTGTCTCTTGGAAATGTGGGAGATTAGTAACCACCTCATGAAATAAACCAAGAGTGACGATAACTCATAGAATGCGGTGACTTGCCAGGTGCCACAGGGGCCTCACTCAGATCAGCTCCTTCTGGTGGGGCAGGCCTTGTTTTCCATCACATGGGAAAGAACGGAGGCCTGAGGAGAGGCTACTCAGCGCCTAGAAGGTGCCCAGGAATAGGGAGCTACTCCTGCCAGGGCAGTCCGTTCCCCACCTCTCCCTCCACAGGGGTCTCCCCCAAGGTATGGGCTGTGCTCCCGAGGGCCCCTCCAGTCCCTCTGGGTCCCCCCAGCTGCGGCCTCTGAGCCCTCGTACCCGGGGGTCGATGACCAGGTAGGTGCGGATGTTCATCTCCTTGAGGTAGGGGTCCCGCTGCTGCCCGTGCCCATCCTCCACCTCGTACGCCTTGTCCAGGTGCTTCAGCGTCGCCTCCGTGATGTGCACCCGGCTGCAGAAGACCCAAGTCAGGCAGAGCCGTGGGGCCCAGAGAAGGCTGGCACCCACCCAGGGGTGCACAGCAGCCAGGTCTGGGTCCCAGGCTGGCTTTTCTGCATTCAGCCCTCCCCCAACATCTGACCCCACCCAGACCCCTCAGTTCCCAACCAGCCCCAGGCCTCTGGCCCTGCCGCTGCCCAGCCCAGCCTCACCCGGGGACTCCAGCTGCCTCCATCCGGTTGGCCAGGGACACGTCATGGGACCACACGTCATACTGCCACTTGCGCAGCCCGATGACCCCGCACAGCACGTTCCCAGAGTGTATGCCCACACGCATGTTGATGTCCACGCCTGTGGCCTCCCGCACCTGCCTGGAGCAGAGTGGCCCTGTCACCCCCGCCCTGCCTAAGCCCTGGGACAGGCTGAAGATCTGAGGTGTGGGGTGGATACAGGACAGGGCTTGGGAACAGGGCAGGCTCAGTCCACAGACAGAATGTTCTCAGCCTAATGGGGCTGTCTCTTCAGAAGGATCTGAGCACCCCGTCCTCAGGAGCATACAAGTGGGTGTGGCCACACCTGAGCTCAAGGGCTAGGTAGGAAGGAGGAGGAATTCCAACTAGTCCTATAGCTCATGATGATGGGCCTAAAACACATGCAGCAGCACTGGCTGGGTTTTAAAAGTTTACTGGGGCCAGGCACAGTGGCTAACACCTGTAATCCTAGAACTTTGAGAGGCCGAGGTGGATGGATCACTTGAGGGCAGAAGTTCGAGACCAGCCTGGCCAATATGGTGAAGCCCTGTCCCTACTAAAAATACAGAATTAGCCAGGCATGGTGGCACATGCCTGTAATCCCAGCTACTCAGGAGGCTGAGACAGGAGAATCAATTGAACCCAGGGGGTGGAGGTTACAGTGAACCAAGATGCACCATTGCACTCCAGCCTGGGCAACAGAGCAAGACTCTGTCTCAAATAAATAAATAAATAAATAAATAAATACATTTATTGGAGTGCCTTTTATGCCCCCCAATCCCTGGGAAGCAGGGTCCTGGGAGTCATTGGCACCATTGAGTACGGGAGCAGAGCCCCATGGGAGAGTTTCCCTGGGGCACAGAAGACCCCCAAGACAGGAACAAAGCCTGAGTCCCCATAACAAGTGGCACCACGTGTCCACCAGCAAGGCTGGGCACTGACCAAGCCTCCCAGGGTCACAGCCAGAGGCGCACGGGGGCCCGTGTAACCTGCCTGTTACAGGGCGGACGCCGGCCTGTGGTCACACAGGCAGTGGAGCAGGGCCAGGCCCTTCCAGCTCTGCCCAGGCTTCTTCCTGGCAATACCAGCCACCTGTGGCAGGACGTCAGGAGGAAGGACAGGGACTTACGCCGGGGACGGGCAGCCCCGCCAGGCCCTGCTCTGCCCCACAGTGGTCTCCCTGGCTGGGCCTGCCTGGCCCTCTCCCCATACAGCCCTCTCAGCAAGCTCTTCCCACAGACCCCAGCTGCTCAGAGCCACAGGGGACCTCAAGGGGAGCTGGGTGCCATCAGGAAGGAGCCTCCAGAGCTGGGGGTCTCCCCGTACCCTCAGGACCAGGCCTGACTCCAGGATCTTCACAGGGGGAGCAGGAAGCAGATGGAGCCTTGCAGTCGGCCCCTGGGTCCGAAAGGTCCCCCAGCTGCCTGCCCTGAAGCCTCCTGCTGTTGCTAAGACCCCATCCCTGAGAGGAGCAGAGCCCACTGCCCCGACCTCATGTCACCCAGCTCTGAGCTCCGGAGACGCTTTCTGGGACTCAGAGTCACAGGCAACCCCCAGAGGGAGGGAAGCAAACAGAAGAGGTCTGAATCCTCCAGCAGGCTGGGTGGTCCAGGCAAGCTGCTTTCAACCCCCGAGCCTCAGTTTCACTATCTGTGAAATGGGAATGACCCAACTCCTATGGGTCTGCCATGGGGCAGGACCCAGCGCCTGGGCCCACCCAGGACCTACTTGATGGCCTCGCACATGTCCAGCCCCATCTTCACGCAGTTCCGGGCGTGGGTGGGCAGCGACACGGGCAGGCCCGACACACAGTAGTAGCAGTCGCCGAGGATCTTGATCCGCATGCACTCATTGGCCTGCAGGGTGAGGGAGGGACCTGGTCACTGGAAGGTCTGGGGCTGGGACCTCTCACGACAGCCACCTCCCCTACCCTCCAGGGTGTGCCTGGCTGTCTCTTGGCTGGGGGCTGCCTCCCGGGGTCCAGCCGCCAGGAGCCACTTCTGGGCCTGGCAAAAGGCTTAGTGACATTGGGGACTCCCCGGGAGGAGCCCCCAAGCAGGCACCAGGGGTGAACACCAATGTTCCTAAGGGCCTCGGGGAGGGCTCTGCCTTGGTTTCATTTGCCCAGATAATGTTTGAGTGCCTACTGAGTACCTAGCCCTGGGCCAAGCAAGGAGACAGAGCAGCGAACAAAACAGATGCAAATCCCCGCAGCCACAGAGCTCACACACAGGCAGGAGGGATGGGCGCTAAACTAGAAAAACAAAAACAAAACAGTGTGCCCAGCGGTGATGGGTGCTCAGAAGAAAACCAAGGCACAGGAGGGAGGCGACGTGCCCAGGAGGCCAGCGAGGACCTCTCAGAGGAAGAATCAGAATTATTAGAGCTAAGACCCCGAGGAACTGAGAGAGCCAGCCGCGTCAGTCTCTGCAGGAAGAGTGCTCAGCCACCCACAGGACCCTTGGGGCCACACAGCTGGGAAGAGGCTGCAGAGGAGTGGAAGACAAGGACTGAGGTCGCAGGTGCACACGCCAAGGGGTCAGCATGTGTCAAGGTCACCCAAGCAGTGGCTGTGCTGCCAGAGCTTAGCAGGGAGGAAAGATATCGATGCAGGGGAAAGATAGGGATGGGGAGGGAGGAGACGGAGAGGGGCGAGGCCAGAGACTCATAGGAAAAGGCCCAGGGATGGAAGGGGGCCCCCGTGGGCCCTCTGAGGTTCATCTGAGGCAGTGCTGTGTCACCAAATCCTCCTTAAGCCCTCAGCAGGGGTGGCCACACGCACTGAGGCCCCATGGGCGGGGCTTTAGGGGAGCTGAAGAAGGAGCGACGTACGGGACATCTGCCTCTGTTCTCCCGTCCCCACCCTTTACCCTGCTCAGCCGACCCCCATGGACTGGACACCCCAGCAGGTGGCCTTGTGCTCCGGTGTCTGGTGGGGAGGGAGCTAAGAGGGCTCTGTCCTACAGGGTCATAAGGGCTAGCCCTGCTCCTAGAACACCATCTGTCTCCAGGTCTCCAGCCCATCCTGTCCTTGTCCCCCCTCTGTGCCCATCAGCCATCATGGACCCAGGCCCCAGACACAGCAGCAGCCCTGCCTCCAGGTCTCCTGCACCCGCCCAGTCTGGGAACTGTCCCTGTTCTGCACCCTCCTCCAATTACTCAGTTTGAGAGTGTGCCAGATGTTTCCTGCTGGGTCCCATCTGGCACATGCTGAGTGAGTGACTGCAGGGACATGAGGACAGTGGCTTTCCTAGAAAGCAGGCAACCTTGGCAGACCTGGATGCCAGGCGCTGACTCAGGACCCTGGCTGACCTGATCTCCTCTCAAACCAGGCACAAGACTGCCCGTGGACCCAGCCCGGCTCTCAGAGATGTAGGGGAGTCACGTTCCCCAGACTGCAAGCCGGCTGACGGTTCCCTGGGTCTCTGACACTTGGAGTTGGGGAGCTGGGTCCTGTGCTGAGGTGCCACATGTATGCCTCTGAGACAGGAGGCCTTGGCTCTCGGAAAGAGCTTACACTTCTGGAATCTGATTGTTGATAGGAGAAAAGGCTGCGATCAGCCCTGCCTGACTCTGCTCAGAGATTAGACGCTCGGACCAGGAAGCCTGCACCTGCCGTGGCCTCCCTTTCCCCATCTGTGCAATAGGGCCATGCCTCCCAGCCCTGCTGGGGAGGGAAAACTGTGTCCAAGAGACCAGGGACCCTCTGTGTGGGCTTTATGGTAAGGAAAGGGCCAGCTGTGGCCCGAGCCCAGGCCCCCTCCCATGAGACCTAGCCTCTGGGTCTCTCAGCTGCTGGTTGAGAAGCTATGCAGATCCTGAAGGAAGGTTCCAGGCTAGACTTCTGAGTCACTCAGTCCACAATGCCCAGGATGGGACAGTTTTCCAGAGAGTCCCTGACCAGTGCGATCCTATAGCAGCTTGGTTACCCCTGTGGCAGGGAGCTCCCCTCCAGTCCCTCCTAGGATTGAGCAGCTCTGATTATGAAAAATTCTTCCCAGCATGAAGCCATAACTTGCCTCCCATCAAGTTCTAGAACATTGATTTTCTGCACAGAGTCATCGGTGAGGGGGGAGCTCTTAATAATTCTGATGGGGCCAGGTGTGATGGTGCATGCCTGTAATCCTAGCACTTTGGGAGGCTCAGGTGGGTGGATCACTTGAGCCTAGGAATTCAAGACCAGCCTGGACAACATAGCAAAACCCCATCCCCACAAAACACAAAAAATTAGCCAGGGGTTGTGGTGCACACCTGTAGTCTCCGCTACTTGGGAGGCTGAGGTGGGAGGACGACCTGAGCCCGGGGAGGTCAAGGCTGCAGTGACCGGTGATTCTGCCACTGCACTTCACTCTAGGTGACAGAGCAAGACTTTGTCTCAAAAACAAAACAAAATAAAACTCTGATGGGTGTGGACACGGGTGTTGGTGTTGTATTTAAGCTTTCCATGTAATTCACAGGTACAGCCAGGATAGGGAGCTGCCGCCTTAAACCTCACACTTTAGACTCTCTATTTAATGGCTACTGCTTCCAGGAAGTCTCCCCTGACCATCTGAGGCTGGGCTAGGTGCTCCCCAGGGTCCCTGGCCCCTGCACTTCTCTTTGGACCATATACCATGTAGGCCAAGGCCCCACCCAGGGTCAGGGCCTGGCACTCAGGCTCTCTCAGGACCATTTGGTCCGTCAGTGGAGACATTCCTTGCCTGACTCCCGTTCCTGCCTGGCACCTCCCGAGCTCCTCAGCATCCCGGTCCTTGCCTCAGCCCTCACATCCTTGCATGTCTGACCTTATGCCCTTGCCCCCTCACACCCTGTTCCATGCACACTGAGCCACATTCATCCCATGGATACACAGGGCTTTCTCTCCACTCCAGGCTTTTATCTATGCTGTTCCCCCTGCCAAAAATACTGTTCCCTTTCCTCCTCAGAGATTTTTTTCAAGTGTCTCAAACTTTAAGGTGGGCCAGGAGCAGTGGATCACACTGGAATCCCAGCACTTGGGAGGCCGAGGGGGAAGGATCACTTGAGGTCAGGAGTTTGAGACAAGCCTAGCCAACATGGCAAAACTCCATCACTACAAAAAATACGAAAAGTTGGCCAGGCTTGGTGACATGTGCCTGTAATCGCAGCTCTGCAGGAGGCTGAGGCACGAGACTCGCTTGAGCCTGGGAGGTCAAGGCTGCAGTGAGCAGTGATGACACCCGTGCACTCCAGCCTTGGTGACAGAGCAAGACTCTGTCTCACAAAAACAAACAAAAATAAAAGTTTAATGTGCACATGGTTCACCTCAGAGCTTGTCAAAAGCTGCTTTTGGGTGAGGCGGGGCATTCCACAGTCTTCCTGAGCTACCAGGTGAACACAAGCTTCTGGGCTTACCAGTGAGGATGGAGCCATCTCCTCCTCCTGAGCCCACATCTGAGCTCCGGAGCCCCAGTATATTGCCCAGTGTGCCCTGGCAGTCTCCCCACTAGCCTCACACTCTGGGGGCACAGGATCCTGGCTGCTGTGGTCACCACTCACCTCCACCTTTACCATGGGGTGCTCATATGTGTTTGCTGGCTGGATGCTAAAATTCAGCCATGGCCTCCCCAACTCAATCCCAGCAGGGCACTGAACACAGGACACCCCTGGGGATGAGACGGGCAGTGGAGGGGCGTGGCTTTGCCCAGCACAGGCCGGCAGGCTCACCTTGGCGATCTGGTCGAACTTGCCAAAGAGCTCGTTCAGCACCACCACCAGTTCCTTGGGGGAGCAGTCGCTGGCCAGCCGCGTGAAGCCCACGATGTCCGCATAGAGGATGCTGGGGAAAGAGCGGGGTGGGAGAGGATGTCAAAGCCAGGCCCCTGGATGGGGCAGCAGAAGCACGGGGGACTGTCTGGAGCCCCAGGAGCCTGCCAGGCCTGGGCCCAATCACCCCTGCCCTTCCTCAGCCTCCATAGGAATGGGGGAGTCGTACCCAGCCACAAAGATTAAAGTTCCAGGGGCTTCACATTAAAGCCAAAGGGAGCAAAGCCCAGAACCTGAAGAAGCCCTCGGGCCTACCCCAGCCCCATCCCTGCAGACAGCTGAAGGGCACTTCAGCTGTCACAGAGCATTCCTCTTGCCCATCCAATGTTCGCCATAGCACAGACTTCAGAAATCCCTGAAGAGAGGTGGCTCTGTGCTCTCTCAACACAACCTCCATGCCCAGCGCTTTACAGGCATCCAGTGCTCATACAGCACTTGCAGAACTGCCACTCTACAGACATGCAAACTGAAGCTCTGGGACACTGAGACTTGCTAAGAAGCCAGGAGCTGGAATCTGCACCATGTCCCTGCTCCAAAGTCCTGAGCTCATGGACCATGCACAGTCCAGAGAAAAGGCAGTGGGCCAGCCTTGGATATAATGCTGGCACTACAGGCAGAGGACCAGGGGGTCTCCCAGGACCCACATCTATACTCAACAGCACCCAGTACTCACATCTATGCTTGACAAACTCAGGTCAGTGCATTCAAGTAAAACTGTGGCTTCCTGTGAATCAGCCAAGGACAGGTGTCAGAACTGGGGCATTCTTGGGTACCAAGGCAGGGGGCTTTACCTCCTTCTGGGGGTCCTGTGCCCCCTTGAGAACCATCTGAAAGGACCCCTTCCTTCAAAAAGCTATGTTTACTCACACAGTTTGGCAGTTTCGGGGGCTGCTACATCTTCCCCAAAACCAATGAGTCCTAAGAGCCCTGATCTGATCCTACCCCTTCGGAAACAGGTACGGATTCTGAGGCCCAGGAAGGGCCCTGGATTGACCTGGGACCACAGGGCCCTCTCCCAATTCCTACGTGGGCAAGGGGCTGAGCCTCCAGATAGGGTGGGAGGCTGCGTGGAGCAGGGATGGAGGCTGCCTGGGCAGGGGTCTGAGCCTCCAGATAGGGCGGTGAGATCAGCCCCCAGGAGATACTGTCCACACGGCTCGCTGCCCACCTGACGTTCTGGTGCCGCTTGACATAGAGGCTGTGGAAGTTGTTGTCCGGCACACAGCGGCGGTCGCCATGCTCCTTGAGTCGCTCGATGATGGCCAGCTTCATGCCCATGGAGATGTGGGCCGGGAGCACCGACAGCAGCAGGTTCTCCTGGGGGCAGGCAGGCAGACCAGAGGGTGGACCGGTGGGGGACAGGCAGGGTGGCATCAGGGCCCAGACCTGGCTACCTGGCCCCTGTCCTCCCTGCCCACCTGCCTGCTCTGCCCACAATGCCCCCATCTCTGCTCCGGTCCTCCGCCAACCCAGCTGGGCATCCACCTCCCATGTCCCCAGCAGCCCCCAGGACTCAGGCTGAGTGAGAAAGGGCTCTTTCAGCTGGGGAGGCTAAGCGATGGGTGGGCAGCCTGGAGCCATTATGGCCTTCTCTGCCACCACCTGGGGACGGCCTGCCCAGGACTGAAACCACACAGAGGAAGGCAGAGTCAAGAGTTACAGGCTCTGGTTACCCGGCCGGAGCCCAGGACTGACCGAGGTGAGAGCTGCATGGGTGTCTGGCCATGCACCTCTCGTACATGGCGCCACGAACGTCTCATGTCCAACAGAAAAAGGAAGAGGGCAGGGGTGTGCAGGGTGAGGAGTGGGGGCCGCGTCCCACCTGCTGGCGCTTCTCAATGCGCAGCTTCCGGCGGATCTGGATGCACTTCACAGTGTAGGTGAAGAGGTCCCGGGACGCATCCTGCATCTGGTTCTTGTGGAAGGCACCAGTCAGGTTCCCGCATAGGAAGATGATCACATTGGCCAGCAGCTGTGGGTGGGCAGGGCTGGGGTCAGATGTGGCCTGGCCCATGCCCTCCCAGGACACCAGACCCCTAGGCAGACTTGTGATGGCACTGTTCCCTTCCCATTTCCTGACCCCCAACCCACTGAGGATGGCAGTCTTCCTGGGGCAGACAGGGAAACTGAGGTCCAGACAGGGGTTAGTCTCCTAGTGAGTCACTAGGACCGCAAGACAAGGATGCCCAGGGAAGCAGAAGAGACCACCTCACAGAGCCCAGGGCCAGAGGGGTATGCGTGCTAAGGGTAGTCCCAGAGGGCACAGCACCCAGCTGGCTGTGCAGAGGTTCAGCCTCTGCCCAGAAAGGACCCCAGGCATGATCAGGAGGAAAACGTATCTCTAAACCCCCAATAATTATGAACAAAAGGTTTACTCATTCAACACAAAGACAAAAGGCAGTGTCCTGGGAAACTCCCCCAGCTCTGTCGGGACAGGGAGTGAGAGAAACCTTGGGAATGGGACTCACCCCACGACAGTGCCCCTGAACCAGAGGGGAGGGCCTGAGGTCAGGACCCTGAGGGCTGAGCCACACGGGAGCCCTAGGCCAGCAAAACGAAGCTGGAGGCCAGAGCCACCCCTGGAAGCCCAGCTTTGGAGCAGACTTGGAGAGGGCCCAGCCCAGAAGCGGGCTGTCTGCCAACACGGCTCTGGGACCTATGGGTCCAACTCACCCAGAGGGGGCCCCCATCTGCCCTTAGACCCAGACCACAACCCCCTCCCCAGAGGCTTTGGCCCATCCCTCACCTGTAGCCCCACCCGGATGCTGGGTGTCGTGAAGCCTCCCATCAGAGTGGAGAGCACCAGGAGGTGGGAGGCGGTGGAGATGACTCCCACGGCCACAGCCCCCCGCATGCTGAAGGGCAGCAGCGTGTACACCACGAAGACGATGAACAGGAAGAAGGGCACCTGTGGACGCAGCCTCGTGAGCCCAGTGCCCCGACGTGCCGCCCGAGCCCTGCAGCCCCCGGAAGCCTGCCCCACACCAGCACACCCAGTGAGTGTCCTCAGGGTGGCCCCTCGCCCCGCCATGTGGGCAGACATACAAGGGAACAAGAAAAGCCAGAATGTGTTTCTGGGGTGGGCCCCGCCACGTGGTTCATGGTCTCCTGTGCAGATCCACTGCCTGTGGCCACCCCAGGCGGGAGGCTCCATGGTCCATGTGATCCAGGGACCCCCACCTGGTGCCCTTCCCACATGGCTCTCTGGGCAGGAATGGTGATCACCAGGAGGCTGGGGCTCCCTCTCACCAGCTGCCTCCAGCAGTGCGGCCCCACCTGCCCTCCCGTCGCCCCCACCGACCGGCCCTGCATCTACCCCTCTGGGAGTGGTGCCCCCTCCCTCCCCTTCAGTCCCCATAGTTTCCTTGGGCCTCATCCCAGCCTGCCCCAGCCCCAGGAGCTGTCACAGGACCCAGGCCCACTGGTCAGAGTGTGCCACCGCTTGGTGACAGTGACTGTCCAGGACTGGGCTGGTGACCCCGGCCAGGCCAGTGAAGCTCAAGCCTGCAGGTTGAGCTGGTTGAGAAAAGGCCCCGCAAGTGCTGCAGCCTGACATCCAAGGGAATGTTCCCTCTTCTCAGCCCTGTCAGTGCAGAGAACTCAGGGACAAAACCAGCCCAGGCCCATCCTAGACACACAGCCAAGCACGTGGGGCAGGAAGGGCCCGCGGCAGCGCCCAACCACAGGGGTGGGAGCTGCTGAGGATGCAGCCGTCAGGGAGTCCAGAGTCCCCGCGTTACCTGCTCCCACGAACAGGCCGCCTTCGTCCACGCGTCGAACACCAGCACGTAGCCCAGGACCATCAGGCAGGCCCAGGTGAGCAGCGCCAAGGCCCTGAGCCAGCGCCGCAGGAGACACTCGACATACACCAGCACGGAGAGGGCCAAAAACACCGCCAGCACCAGGAACGCCGTGCCCAGAACGGCCTGGTGTCTGGAGGGGTCCTGGGCAGAGCAAACAGACAGAAACACCTCAGCTTTCCCCGGGCAGCGCCACCTCCTCCAGAAAGCCTGCCGGGCTGGCTGCCTCACTTACAGCTTCATCCACACGGAGGGTGTGGCTGCACCCTCCCACACGTGGTTCCCGCTCACCTTCAGTCCTTTCTTTGTCACCTCTGCCAAAGCTGCCTCAACCACCCACTTCCTGTCTCCTCGGGAGCCCGAGCATTGCCCACAGCCCCACCCGCGAAGCCATTAGTTTCCATTCGCCTCTGCCTCCTCTCTGGGTTCCCACGGTGCTCTGTGCGCAGCCACAGGTGACACCATGAGCACAGGGCGGGACTTGCTCACAGGCACAGTCTCAGAAAATCATCCAAAGGGGACACAGGCCTGGCCCTCAGCGAGTGAGCAGAGGCTGCTGAGGGATTCCAGGAAAAGGCATCCCACAGGGGAGAAGCTGGGGCAGCGGCACAGAGTGGGATGGGACGGGCACAGCATCCAGGAAGTCTGTGGGGGCAGAGGCCTGACTGTGGGGCTGGCACACAGTAGCAAGTGCCCTGTGGTTGGTAGCCATGTGGGTCCAGGCAGCACTGGCAGAGCAGCCACTGTCCTGGCCACTTAACACACATAAACACCCTGAAGTTTCTAAGTATTCTTCCAGATCTCTGCTAATCAAATTTACATCAATTATAAAGAAAATGGGCTGGGCATGGTGGCTCATGCCTATAAGTGCAGCACTTTGGGAGGCTGAGGCAGGTGGATCACCTGAGATCAGGAATTTGAGACCAGCCTGGCCAACATGGAGAAACCTCATTGTTACTAAAAATACAAAAATTAGCCAGGCGTGGTGGTAGGTGCCTGTAATGCCAGCTACTCTGGAGGCTAAAGCAGGAGAATCACTTGAACCCAGGAGGAGGAGGCTGCAGTGAGCCAAGATCACGCCATTGCTCTCCTGTCTGGGCAACAAGAGTGAAACTCCATCAAAAAAAATGCAGTTCCTCAGTCTATTCCCCACTTTTTAAATGCTCAATAGCTGAACACAGTTAGTGGCTGTACCAAGGCAGGTGCCTGGGCCAGAGACGACATGAATGGTGTCAGCCTGGAGAGCTGTGTTGGAACGATTCTGAAGAGGCCCAGCACAGTGGCAGATTCCTGTAATCCCAGCACTTTGGGAGGCTGAGACAGGGAGATCACCTGAGATTGAGAGTTCAAAACCAGCCTGACCAACATGGTCAAACCCCATCTCTACTAAAAACACAAAAAATTAGCGTAGTTTCACCTGACCAACATGGTAAAATCCCATCTCTACTAAAAAAAAAAACAAAACAAAAAAATAGCCTAGCATGTCTATAATCCCAGCTACTTAGGAGGCTGAGTCAGGAGAACTGCTTGAACCCCAAAGTGGAGGTTGCGGTGAGCCGAGATCATATCATTGCACTCCAGCCTGGGCAACAAGAGCAAAACCCTGAGGCCAGGTGCAGTGGCTCGTGCCTATAATCTCAATGCTTTGGGAGGCCAAGGCAGGAGGATCGCTTGAGGCCAGGAGTTCAAGACCAGCCTGGGCAGCATAGTGAGGCCATGTCTCTACAAAAAATATAAAATAAAAAGAGGATTCTGAGAATGTAGCCAGGCTCAGTATGGAGTGTAGGGATTGATTAATGATGTCTGCATGGGTATGGGAAGTGAGGGTAGTAATACACAGGCCATCCGTGACTCCAGGTCTTCGGTAGAATCAAATTTCATCATGGAGAAAAATTAGAATAATTTATTCAGACAATTTAATGTAACATCTAAAACCACTTCAGACTTCAAAATTGAATTAAACTTAGAGAGGCTGGGCATGGTCGTGCATGCTTGTAATCCCAGCTACTCAGGAAGATGAGCCAGGAGGATTACTTGCACCAGGAGTTCAAAACCAACCTAAGCAACATAGCAAGACCCAGTCTCAAAAAAATATATATTTTTTTTAATTAGAAACCTGTCTTCTACCAGTCTAAATATGCTGTAAAAGACATAGCATTGGCCAGGCATGGTGGCTCACGCCTGTAATCCCAGCACTTCGAGAAGCCAAGGCAAGTGGATTACTTGAGGTCAGGAGTTTGAGACCAGCTTGGCCAACATGGTAAAACCCCGTCTCTACTAAAATACGAAATTAGCCAGGCATGGTGGCACATG